TATATACCTACCCATTACTGCACAGACTTTAAATCCTTGTCACGTAAAAATAAAACTTTCCCACTTGTAGAGCACTTCTGCTCTTGATCACTGAGTTTTCTCCCTGGTTTTCAAAATGCCCAAAAGTTCTGAACTGTCTCCTTTGTAGTTAAGACCTGTGAGATATGCTTGAAAATGTAACACATCTGAACTGAGCTGCATAAAAACTGCCTTTATGTCTGTGTGTGTCAATGTTTGTGTACACTTAGAAAATAAATGTCTAAGAGGTCAAGCTGATTTCCCTCATATTTTAGGAAAAGAATCACTCTGAGCTGAAAAATTATATGCCAAGTTTCTGCCTGAAGCAAATTTCTACAATCAAATTAAGAACCTTTGAGACCAAGAGTTTACAATAGAAATACTAACACATCCTTAACCATGGCAGCACTAGCAGCCACTGCAGTGATATTAAGAAAGCTCTCCCTGCCCACTACCTAAACTAAATAAAAAAGATGCCATTTTTGAACATATACCCCAGGCTACCAAATAACAATGATTTAATGTACTTGCCCTGTGGTAACACAGTAGCACTGCAAATCTCTGAGCCAATTTCTCCTTTCTTTTCTTTTTTTTTTTTTCTTTTAAAATATATGCCCTGTAGAGAAAGGATTGCAATTTAGCTCTTATTTGTGGATATATCGCTTTCATTTCGACAATTCTTGAAAGCCTTCCTACTGCCACATGCTACTGTATGCAAGCACCCAACTGAATAAAGACCCACCAGGCTTTTTCAGGAGTTTATTCACAGGTTTGGCTTTGCTTATTGTAGTATGCACCACATTTAAATTAGATGAGGGCTACTGTAAAGCAATAACATTGTCAATGACTGGAATCTCACTTTCCCCTCTAACAGTCTGAAGCAAATTAATGTATTGGTTGTTCATTAACAAGTAAACAGTTTCTGCTACAATGTCAAGGAAAAAGAATGTGTTCATTAATATGAACAATCGTCATCTACAAAGATGATTTACACAATGCATGTCATGAGATAGCTTTCCCCTAACTAGTACACTACCAAACTGAAAAGCTGATTCTTAGGACTTTCTTGAAATTACAATATTGTTTGTTTACCTATAAGAAAGACAGGCTCAGTCACCTATGCCACCATTGTAAGCTCTATAGTAAGTACTTAAAAAAAGAGAGATTTCTGGAGTCACTTGTGGAATTAATAAAATTGATAACTACAGACTTACACTGCATCAATGATACATATTATTCCTGTGATAAGCTAAAAATAAGATTTGGTTATAGAAATTCCTTAAACAACAACACTTAAATTATTTCAAACTTGAAATTTTTCAAGAATTTTCTGAAAAAATCAGCAAACACTGGCTAAAAAAGCAAAGCAGTTTGGATACACCAATGTAATCAGCATGCCTAGTGCTTTTCTGTTAACCCTCTGAGTAAAACCATAGTATTCTGGATCTTTTTTGTGCATTAATGCTATCAAAATTGTAAATTACAGAAATATTAATTTATATGTCATGACTTAATGAATCATGCTCTAAATATACTCTGGCTAGGCACCTCATCTAGTGAGCTACTCATCCGTTCTCAGGTTTTAATTATCCACTGAAGAAGCCAGTCTTTAGCAACTGTAAGGGAATTTTAGATAATTGCCCTAGATTTGATGCTTAACTATTAGATGAGTACACGTAAATGAGACAACGCCCAGCTCGGTGCCATTGACCTAATCCTGTGCTATCACCTATCAGTACTACATTTTCACATCAAAGTTTATTCACTGAATGTAAGCTCACTAAAATATTGCACTTATGTTGGAGTCCACAATATCCCCACTCACATTTAATTGAGAAAATTTAATCTGGAAGTCATCCTGTTCTACACTTTTTTTAATATTAAGATCGGATTGTCAAGCGACCTGAAGCACCCTTTGGAAGTGCTCCTCTCCATCTCCCTGGTGATAGACAGTCCCTACTAGCACTGCCATCCGTCTCAGCTAACTACACAGGCTTGGTGGGAGGAAGTTGGCCTTATGCATGTAATAAGCATTAGAAAAAAACTGTTGTCACATTTAGCAACAGTATGATGCAATGATTAAAAAGGGAAATGAAGGAAGAAATCAGGAGGGCTGGTATATATTATAGTAAAATGACCACACTGTGCTATGTGCTCTCTGCTCTCACAGATTATCACATTAGAAATAGTCTATTATCTTTGATTTCTTGTTTTCACTGTGTTTCAAGTATTTTTAGGGCCACATTTTCTGTCTTCACTTACCCCCAGGAATTCAGAGGTTAGACAAGAAAAAGGGCAGTCGCTGCCAAACAAGCCTGAACCATTAGTATTTCCATGAAACCATACACACATACACATATATATGGTTATATTTAAAAATATATATGGATGCAAGGATATATTTTAAAACATCATTGCAAACTTTTAAAAGAGTTTAAATATCCAGATATCTTCCCTTGAAGCCTAAAAAGGAGGCTATAAGCAATTTGAAACCCACTCTTTTACAGACCTAAAAAATAACAAGAAATAAGTATATTTTTATAGGTAAGTTCATAAAACATGAACCAAAGATCAGAAGCATATAAGATGTTGGGGAAGAGTAGGGTTTTCAGGATCTAGGATTATTTTCACATTCATTTTAAGTAGTACAAGATGGTGTAAGATGGAGCCAAACATCTTATTTTAATGATAACTCTGTATTCCATAGCAAAGCAAAGGTGATAGGAAAATCCCAGATGAGTTTTTGAATACTATTTCACATGCATAAGGTGAAGCATATTTTTATATTTAGTTTTTTGTCCTGACTTCCCTCTCTAATTAAGAAGAATGAACGTTGGCCTTTGCTTTAAGACTGCCAAAGTTTCCCAACAGTCAAGTAGCATGAGGTATTAATGGATACCTTCTTATTACCAAATGTATGTCTTTCATGTACATGGCTGAGTTGTATCTCTTCTAAAGAGAAGGCTGCAATATAATGTGGGAAGAACAATGCTGTAAGAACATGTGACATCCTGACTTACAGTAAATTGACGAAAGTAAGTGACAAGGGAGGCTTTACCTTGGCTGGGGGTTTGACGCTATGGAAAAATAATCCCTGTCCTATCCAAATGTTATCAAACTACAATCAATAACATCACAGTGGCAGTGGCTGTGCCCTATCTACCAAGGGTCTTCTCTCTGCTGTGACTCTAGGGTCAGCTGGGCATGGATCTGCCACAGACAGCCCTTTCCCAAAACCTAAAATAGGAGAATTTTTGTATAGCAGTTCCTTTCTCCCTTCACCTCTTGCCCCTGTGGAGTTCTCCAACAAGACACCTATTTGCTTCACTTGGGTTAAGATGTTATGACTCAGGTTCCAGTAACAGAGGCTGTGCACAGGCCTTCTGCCCATAGATGTATGTTCAGAGTCTCCCAATGACTTAGGGTAAGATTCATTCTACTAAACTCATAAGCTGAAGTTTGGTGTCAGATGTAAGCTTCCACCAGTAGTTTCTTCTGCCAACAATGGAGTGAGAGCAATAGGTGAACCACAGCATGAGTCCTGCCTAAAATGCATGCCCATGACAGGTGAGATGAATGAAACTTGGAAATGCTCATCCCTCTGTATTACCAAGGAAATATGGGGATCTAGTTTCTATTAAATGTCTCATTTCTAGATTATTAACACTGGGTGAATTTAAAAGTATTCTGTATGAAATGCTTGTACCACTTGTGTGAAGATTCGCAAGATGAAATGCCTGTATTTAAAATCTTTAGAGCTTTTAGTATATAAATTTTCATGATTGAGGCAATTAAAGATGCACTTTGAAGGATGGAGAAACAAAAGAATTTCAATGTTTCTTGAAATACAGTTCAAAAGATACTTCCAACTAGAAATGCAAAAGAGCATTACACCAGCTCCAACAAGCTGCAGGTAGACATTCGTTGCCACAGCTGCTCTTAGGGACAGTTCCTTGAACAAATACAACTCAGTGGAAGTGGCTCTGTAGGCAACTTGCCCTGTTCCTCCAAAATTTATTTATACTTCCTAGCAAGATCAGAAATGTCTGCTTATCTTTTTGGGCAGCATATTGATATTTCTAGTGGTATAATTTGAAAGAAAAAGGGAGAAAGAGAAAAAAAGCAAGGAGAGAGAGAGAGTCAAATACATCTATGTGACTTTTTAAAAACACTGTGAGAAAATTTTAACTTTAGAGAAGAAAACTTCCATTTTATATGAGTAATAAAAGCAAGTATAAATTTCACAATGTTTTTTATTTTAGAACAGGAGTTTGGAAGTTGCCTTTTTCATTCAAGTGATATTCTGAGTGATTTTATATTTTCTTTTCTTTTAAATTATCACATTTGAAGCAAAAATCTACAATGTGTAATATTTCTGTGAAAGCCAACTTTAGGATAATGGTTAAATAAAATGCTATAATGCTGTGTTGAGGTTTTAACAAACCAGAAATGTGTATACTGTGTGTAAACACCCATTTTATTAAATATTACAAATAGAACTGGTGAATCATTTTTAGTTTGTTCATTCTAAGACAGAACTTCCACTAATTCAGTTTAGGTTTTACATATATATGAAATTACTTGTATTTTCCCCAGTTTAGAAGTACTTTAGCTATTTTAAGTGTTATTCTTCTCAATGTTAATCTTTAAAAATTACTCTCCCAGGATAACCAGGTCATGTTGAGAGGATGCCTGTACATTTTTGAATGTGAGGCAAAGGAACCAGGAACTTCTCAGCTAGATCATTGCATACCATTACATGACAGAATGTGTCCTCAAGCCATTTCCCAAGACTCTGCATTGTCATTAGCAGCAAACGATACGGAAGCAATCTTTCGTGGCCATCATCATGTCATCTTCTGAAAACTATGAGTCTGCCCTAAACTGAATTTTCCATTTAGCCTGCATAATATCCTCCAACAACAGTCACTACCTGTGGAAGTATGATGCGGGTTTAGAAAGAGCTGCTATAGAATATACTGTTTGTTAATTTTATTTTCATTTTTAAAGCCTACATTTGTAACCCCTAAGCAATAGTGCGTTTGGTTTGGCCAGAAACAGGCAAGGAACTTTAGGGTACTATAAAAGATATGTGCGTATAAAAGCAAAAAAGCCAAAATAAAGCCCTAATGCGGGTTGTCAAGATTTAAGTTGATCGTTTACTCAGAGGGTTAACATGTGCTAAAATTACATACTGCAGTTCCTAGCTTCACTGATGAAAACATTCACTGCTTCTATCTTTAAATAAAAAAGCAAAATAGCCTTAACCCTTTGAGGATCATATTAGCAGCAAGTTGCAATCTAAACAGAGAACAAGTATTTCAATCAATTAGGAAATTATTCTTACAAAGATTCTGTGAGCACCCTTTTGTGTTCCACCATCCCAGCATTTACTGCTGGATAGATAAGTTGTAATCACTTCATACAAGTCCGAAGGATTTTCAGGGTCTCAAAGGGTTAAAGCCAAGACTTTTGAGTAAAAGTGTTTTATTAAAAGGGTGAGTTAGGTGAGCGAACAGTCTCGGATGAACTTGGTGAATAGTCTTCCGATTCGGAGTTGAGTTCAGGTGGAGCTTGCTGTTCCTTATAACGTCCCCTCACATCCTGGTTGCGTCTTCGTCGGAAAACCTGCCTCTCCTTATCAAGAGCGGTGGTCTGGCAGGGGCATAAAATAAGAATAAATGAAATTAGGCTGTGTGTGAAATGCAAAGCTAATGAAAACCATGAGTTCATGTGGCCTGCAAATACCACGGATAATAAATGTTCAGACCAAATTAAACCTGTTCTGTCTCATTCAGGTCTGAAAGGTTGAGCCCACAATATAGCTACATGCTTTAGAAGGTGCATTACCCAAACCTTAAGAGGTAGTGTGACATCATCAAGCAGATACAGTACCATATATATGCATGCCATATGTTCTACTTCTGGATGCTATTAATTTCATCCTTTAATAGATTCAAATTTCAAGCCAAATACCAACTGACCTTCCCCCCACCCTTCTCAAAATATGTATCTGTTTCTACAGGTAAGGCAGAGATATATGCTTGTCTTTGGTTTGACCTAATGAAGGCTGATCCACGCTCACCCATGTTCAAGTCAGTGCAATCAGCTAAGAAAGATGAATTGTGATGAAGTTGTCAGACAACAGAGAAAAACAAACACTGAAGGGAGCTAGCCCAGCTCTCTGACACTTTCTCATGCTGCTCTATGGATGTTCTTAGGGAGAATGCTTAATTCTGATGGAAAGACCCATTTATCATGACCACCTGTCTCCTCCTGTTAATCAAGGTCTATCAAATGAAATACTCCACTAATTTTATCTAGGTCTATCTAGAGTATCTAGGAATGGGAAAGAAGGATGTTTTCTTCACGGGCTTTATTTTTTGCTCATTCTGCAACTATCGAGAATGGAAGTCTCGATAAGATGGTTGTAACTTCTAGCCACATCCCTTCCTCTGCTTTTCTGGAACATTTACATGGTGAAACTGCAACCAATATAAGGGCAACCCAAGCCTGACTAATGATTTCAATCATGGGACTGGTTTTGTTGAGTATGGACTGCAGTCTCTAAAATCACCGTAAAATTACAGGTTCAGCAGGATGGCCTTGATTCAGCAAGAGCACTTTGACACATAGTTAACTGTCTTCTGGAGCAGGGCTGCCTTTTTAAAACGTGGCTCCTGATTGATTTGGAAAAAGCAAAACAGAAAGAGGCTACTAAGATGACATACAAAATGTAAACAATTATCTGATCATGCTACTGGAGGCAAATATAACTCTGAGAACTGAATAAGTTTGACTGGTAAGGCTTGTAAAATTTATCCCTAGTATGAAAATCTCCTTTTAAAAGAATGCAGCCAAAAGGTTATTCTGCTTCAAAGGATTTATTGTGTTCTCTTGAGACATACATGACTGATTTCTCTAGAAAATTTACCAGTTATAGTGTGAGCCTCATAGGAGAGCAGAGATGTATTTATAGCCAACATATTTTTGAGAACAGAATGAAAACTAAATCCATCATACTGGTGCAGAATAGCATTATAGCAGTTCACGCTCTAAAATAATGCAATCAGCATTCAATAATGATGTAACAGAGATGGAAAGATGGACAAGAATACAGAGCTACTATAGAAAATGGATTTAGTTAGGCTAAATGGCTGAACTATTATTTTTGTGTCTAGAACCTACATAGCACTACTTTAAAGGAGTAAAATAATTAGCTTTGATAAGTTCATCCCCATATTTTAAATAATAATTGCTACAAAATGCAACACTTTTCATCTGCTGAGAATTTCTTTGTTTACTGCTCATCTTTTGGTTAAGAGCTCTAATTTGTATTTTCAATGCCTTCTATGTTTCTTAGTCTTGAACCAATTCAGTTTTTGATTATTTTTAATGTGAAACAGAAGAATACCTAAATCTTTTACACACAGTGAATATACAGCACACAGTTTGTAATTCTGTGTGAAAATTGAAAAGAATGCAATATATTACCACTCTATAAAATACAGATTTCCATTTAAAAGATTTTTTATGCTTACAGGAAATAAGCATTTATTTGAAGTTGAAACCACATCACATCATCCTGTGGTAATAGATACTCTCCTTTGAGAAAGTTAAACATTTCTGGTTGAATAAATAAAAATACTTGTATTAAATTAAAAATTTATTTTTAAAACCTGCTACATGAGAATGGTAAATGTGTATGTAAAACCTGAAGGTATTTAAAATTAGATAAATTACACAGAAGAGAATATTTTGAATAAGAGATTCATTTTGAAATTTCGCCTGGGACATTGCTTTTTTTTAAAGGACAAAACTCTAAAATTGCAGAAGTACTTAGATAATTAGATATAAGGACACATTTTTAATGGTGTCTTTAAAAAATAAACCCCAAGATACTAGTTTGCTAATATTATTGGGGAAGCTTTGGGGGCTTTTGTTTGAATGCATTTGTTTAAATAAATATAAAGGCACTTCCTGACTCAATAATGAAAAATATTAAGCGAAAAAAATCCTGATGATCTTACCTGATCCAGCACCTTATTTCTGGCTATTCCTAACACTTCAGAAACTTCCTGAGATATTTAGAGACTATGGGTTTTGGTTTATTTTTATCCAAAGTCTCCACCACATTTAGTCTAGTTGGTATTTGCAAAGTCATGCTCGTAGACTCAGGGGCATTACTGTGGTTACTCTCCTGGGCTGAGACATTCATAGTCTTTCTCACCGAAAAAACTTTTAGAATAAAAATGTATAAAGTTATGGAGAGCCAAAGAAGGAAGAATTTATCTTGAGAAAGCAAAAATACACAGGTGGTATTCTAGCCTTTAGTATTTAACATGTCAGAACCACAAAACAGGTCACCTCTAGCCACAGATAGAGCACTTACAAGCACTACTGAACTTGCAAGATCTGGCTTACTCTACCCAATCGATGATGTTTTGAACTTCCAGTGTCTAATACACTGCCAGGTGGTATTGCCATTCTACATTCTGCACAAATACTATTTTTCATTTAGTAAGGTCATGGTTACTTTTTACCTCTAAAGAATTTAAAAATACAATAGATTAATGGTTTGGAATTCAGAGGACATGGTAAGATACATTTGAGTATTGACCGTGTGTGTTTTGTACCAGCAATTTTCACCTGCTGTACCCTCTTGTGCACACGGGTATGTTCCAAAAATCAGCTTTTTCCTTATTATTACTGCTTTTGTAGCACAGGCCTCTTATACACATTGCCTTGGTTTAAGAGACGTATTATTTCATCTACTATTCAGCTGGCTGGTTCACCGGCGCATGAATCAGTCCATTATGGATTTCTATGGCACTTCTATTTGAAGCTACTCTTTTAATAAATAATAAAAGGATCTGAAGTGCACTTATGCTTCACAAGGCTGCAAACCCAGATTTTCATTATCGTATTTCGACATTTTTTTCCCCTGTCTCAAGGTGAAAGAGTGAGAACTTCAAGCACTGTATGATAGTGGCAACTAAATGTAATGGCAACTAAAATGTAAGGATAGCATTCTTATTTAAGATACACAGCTGTCCTCCTACCATCTGTATGAGGAAATGTAGAGCTTCTTATCCAGCAGCAGATAAGTGGATTGCCTTTAATAGTTTGGTGCTGATGGGTCTGAAGCACTTCATTAAGCACTAATGTATTTTGCATCAACATTTAGTAATCCTAACACCCAGTACCAAATGGTTAACAAGCCATTTTTGGAAATGCATTTAATTTGAAGTAATGTAGCATTATTTTAAAATCTTTGTTTCTATCACCCTTGTACTAAGATCTAGTTAGCATTTTCCCAGGATTTTGCCATAGGAGGTGTCTTCACTCTGATTCCTACCTCTTGATGTTGCAGGACTCCTGGGCCATGCAAATTAGTTTTTTACCTTGGAAAACGTTGAACTCTGTGTTTATGAACAGACATCCAAAAACTACAGCTGCTTTGATATATGAGTTGGATTTGCAGTGGGAAGCACCTCATTCTAGCTGTGGGGTGATATTTTCTGTCAGGTCAGTAATGATTGGATTGAAGTAACTGCACTTTATGAATGTGAGAAGTGACTGTTTTACTTTTCACTTGTCTTAATTTACTGCTCTCTGCCAAATATAGATATATATTCATTTCATTAATAAAAGAACATTATTGTGCATTTTGCCTCTTAGCCCATCCATTATTCATACCAGCCAGGAGACTGAACTGGGGATGCAGCTGTTCACATATTAATCTGAGAAAACCTTCCCTTCACTCACTTTCATTCTGCAGCAGTATATTTGCAATTTGTATGCAATTTTTGTGCTGCTTTGTTTAGTGTGTGGAATTACATAAACATATGTACTGAAACGGGTATTTTCTTTCAGTGCATTCTTTTATATACATGTATGTGCACGCACATATTTAAATGTTCATGCCTAGATAATTTTATCTTACTTCCTTAAGCTTCTGGCTACTGACCTCAATACCATGAGATATGCATTAGCAGGTTTCCTACTGTAAAAATGACCATTAAACAATGCTTGTGGCATGAGCCAGGCAGCCTTTCAGTCTGTTCTTTTTAATTTTTTTCCATGGGTTTCTCAAGTTTTATATACATATATATGTATATATTTATCTATATATATGTATATGTGATTGCTTCATGATTCAAGACACTTTTTGGGTAGTATTTCAAACTTAGCAATGCACCTCAGTCCAGGAGTGAAAGACACAGGTTAGTTTTAGCCCCTCAGGCACAAGCTATAACTAAGTCAAGTTACACGGTGATTTGGAGACGTGCAAATGACCACATCGAGGAGACAAATTAATCGAGTGGATTTGAAACTAGACCTCCAAATACAAAAGGCCAGTGCTTTAGCACACCATGTAACTTCTGGCATGAAACTTAGCTAAAATTAAAGTAAAAAAGAAAGAAAATCAAATCAATTTGATGTATGTTTTGTACTGTGCTGGTGAGTACAAAGACAAGTATTCTACACATATGACTGCTGAATTCCTATTGCTATATTCAAGTTTGTGTTTACTCTTTGACATCCCCCCCTTTTTTGAGACACAATTCCTCAGCTGGTTTCAATTACACGTGGAAGAGACTTAGTGCCAAGTTATTTGCATGGGTGAATTTTATTTATAGTTTGTAAATCAGTTGTGGTTTTCTTCGTCAAAGAGCAGGAGAAGAGATTTTTAAATGAGTTTAGATGTTTGCCTGTTTTTACCAATACTCAGTTTACAGAGGGTTTTAAGGTATCAAAAATGGCACTTTACAGATAACAAGCCTGATTCCCAACTTCCTTGTCCCATGTCAAGACATCTGGTGGTAACTTTTGACTTGAAAACGTGTTGTATTAACTTGGGACAGGTGTAAGTAACTCAACAGATGCAAAGTAGTGGGAATTAGGAACCAAACACAGAGGATGAAACTATAGTTTTTTTAATGAGCTATTCAGATACATATAAAACTGTGATAGTGAGAACTGTATTTTAAAAATCCAGTATTTTATTACTTCAGTATTACTGGATTGAGGATTATGTTAAGCATCCAACGTAACTCATCTCCTTTCTATTGTCATTACATGGATAATATCATTAATGATTTTCCCATATATTTCCTGGGTTTTATTTTGCAACTTCACCTTTTCTATAGTATCTGTGGATATATAGAAAATAACATATGCTAACATTGTATGCTTATATATAATATTACATATACTAATATTTTCTGCTATGTTAGATACAACCACTCTGATGCTCCCTTGATGTTCAGAATCAGCCCAGAAAAGGCAGAAAATTCAGGCCGTTCTGTCAGTAGCAGATTAAAATAGTGTTAAGATTCAGACATAAACCAGAAGCAGTAAGGAAGTTCGGGGTTCAAATCAAACATTGGGAAGTTACACAAAGTTTTGCCTTCAAAATGTGCTGCCATTAGGAGGTACAGATAAAGCAGCTAAAGAAGGCTATGGACTGGACACTGAAACACTCAGGGCTAAAGGGAAAGCTTGAAATACTTTTAATATTCTGGCTTAGTTACAAGAAAGCCAAAAAAACCTCTTAAAAGCCTCAGTTAAGTACATCTTAAAAGAAAAGTTTCTTATAAGACAGTAAATCTATCAGTTATGATATTTCTGAAGGACAATACAGGTGCCATTTTGACTGTCTGTGGTCACTGTTGCTAAATTCCAAATTCCAGGAGAGAGAAATTATAAAAGATGAATGCATTTGCTTTAACCCTTTTACAAAGAGATCTAGCAGAGAAATGGGATGACTTTGGAGAAAAAAAACATAGTATCTCTGCTCAGAAATGGGCCATCTCTGCTGTCTTTGGCTTGAGTTGATGTTAGTAATTTGGGGTGAATGAAGATGTGATTGCACCACGGGCATTACCTACCTGCACCAAGGCTGGCTTTCCTGGCTATTAACAACAACCTTTCACCAACGCTGGGGCAGTTCATACTGCGGGGGTTTAACTGGGACCTTCAGGTCTCATCCCTACTGACACTGACGTGGCCTTTCCTGCACTTCTGATTGCAGGGCTGACATCCCAACAGCATCAGCTGGGCTAATTATAAAACATGTATCAGTCTGGGGTCCAAATGATTTTACTGATTTGACCCCTGTGTTTTTTCTGTTCCTCATATTCAAGGAACAACGTTAGGTTTTCCAGACATTATATCTCACACCTGCTACAACAATTGTCACTGTACATAATGCTTGTCGTATATTAGTATCTCAAAAAATTCACTTTTGTACATATTATCCTACTGAAAGGCAACAAAACAAGAAGCAGAATAGGTGCATAGAAAATCAGGACTTTGAGGCCCTTTGAATAGGAAAATCTTTTAGGCAGAGAAAGAGAAAGTTTTTCAGGTTGATTGAAGGATATTTCCTTCCTTCCTAGTGCCATTAAAAAAGATATTTTAGAAGACTGCTAGGGATGAAAACGATCAAAGGAGTGGAGAAGAAACGAACAGTTTAACAAAGGTAGCGTTAAATTTTCCGTGGGACCTTGCTGTACTTGTGAATTCAGGTTAATTTTCACGTGCCTGTGATAAATCAGCTGTTTTATAGATGGGAATTGATGAACCTTTTCATACGCTTTGCATTTGCGCTACTAAAAAGTAAACGCTACATCAAAATGTTTTTATTTAGACTAAAATGGTGGTCACTACAGTAGTTGCTTGTTCCTTGGAGATAAATAAGGATAGAACACAGGGCAGTGCTTGTTCAGAGGTATCCCCTGTTACAGTAATTCCTAATAAAGCACCTACACCTAGGAGCCCTGCTCTCCCAATTTGCCTTTCCACACTAGGTGCCTTGTTTAGAAAGCACTAATTATAAACATTGTTGTTACTGCCCCCAGCTGGAAAACAGAGCAGTTTACGTATGAATAAAAGAGATTATCGCCCATCTGCTCCAGCCCATTATTCAGGGATGTGTCATTTTGCATGCTGATGGCAGCCATTACTAGTGCTTTAGTCAAATGGCCTATTTTGGTTTTTGTTTTTGTGTGGTTGTTTGTTTGTTTGTTTTTATATAGTGTTTATTTATTTACCAAATCTCAGAATTAGAGTCTCCCCCCCACCTTCTCAAAATGGATATGATTTGTTTCAAAATTTGGGCTATGCAGTTAAACTGAGTCAAGGCCAATCTGAGGGGAGATCCTCACTTTTATCACAGGCTCCTGTTTCTGGTGGTCTGCTCCCCTGAAGCTGGGGTTTAAAAGATCCCAACACTATTTTATAACAAATGGAAAGACAGATTTCTTCCTTTTTTTTTTTTTCGTTTTTCTTTTCTTTCTTTCTTTTTTATTTTTTTTTGTGTGTAAAATAAAAACAATAAAGCAGAGAAGGAGTGTATGCTGCTCATGGAGAGTAATACAACCCCAGAAAGATAAATAGAGCTCATGTGAGCTTTCCCCATTTTACAGAGGAAGCATTAAATTTGCAACTATTTGACAAAGCCCTGCTTGACACAAAATGTCATCATTATAAGCAGAAAGGAAAAATTGCTCTAACACTATCAAATCCATTCTCAACTAAAGTTGGGCACTCAGAGCCCATTCCCCACTTCTCCAGACTAGAAAAGCACTTACGTTGTGCTGCTGTCTTAGCTCTATTACAGAGATGGAACCTGGGAAGCATGATGTCAACTGACAAGTTAGACCAAGCAGGTTTTGCTATTATCTTGCATGCCATGTTAGGTTTATAGCCACCAATGCAAGTGTGATAGGCTGGAATTACAGATACTGCTACACACTTGAACACGTGGAGTGAAAGTGTTTCTCAACTCTTGCTAGCTAGCATTCAGCTGGTGGATGGGAACCACTTTTCCACTTTTTGCTTGAAAAATAGGATTTTTTTAAAATTTATTTATTTATTTTTAATTTCCCCAGAACATCCATATCAGAATCTACTTAACTCTCAGTGTGTGCCAGGGAACTGCTAGGTTTTATGGAAACCATGCTGTAGCCCGATCCATGCACTCGGTGAAGTGATCCAGGGTGGGAGTTTTACTTTACTGAATATACTTGCAGCTATCATCTCTGCTGTTTCGCTAACGTGCTTAATTTGCTGAGTTTTTCCAACATCTCACAGATGAGTTTTTAAAGGCTCCAATCACTGCAGTGTTAGAAAATGCAGATTTTGCAAGAAACTTGTAAAAATTTCTCCAGCTATCAAAACATGGGTCTTGTGAGTAACAAGAAGGAAAAAAGCCAGCAAATAACTACTTGATGGAAATTCCAGGGCTCCGGATTCATTGGGATATGTGGGCTTTGTGTGGGCCATCAGACCTGGATCCCTCCTTGCCCCCACACTAGAATAACCCTCTCCCACCCAGAGTCCCATTTGGTCATACAGGTTAAGCCAGCTAACAACAACCCTGGCACAGTTACACAATGAAGAAAAATATATTCAAAAGACTCATGCAATATTTAAAAAAAAAAAATCAAAATAAATAGGTTTCAGAAGGGGTTTAAAAAGAAAAGAGAAAGAATGCATTGTTAGAAACACAAGCTTACCAGCACATACAATGCATTGTATTTCATTGAACTTGGGAGAGTTTCTACGGCCCATGTTATGTAAATGCATTGTTCGATCTAAGGTAAGGATTGTGTTTGTGGGTTTAAAATGACAGTATATAGCTCCACTTGCATGGAAAAAGAGGAAAATATATGCTGAGAGCCTGTTGCTGCTCCATGTGCTTCAAAACAGGAGCGTAGGGGAAGCAGATGTCTTAACAAGCAATAGGGAGGGGGAGGGTGCATACTTCAGCATATCTAGTACATTTTCTATATACACTGTCCTTTTAACTATAGAGGAGATCGATACTGAGCATGTGCAATGAGGAGAAAGCTGGCAATGTGGGTGTGAGGGATGGGTGAAGAAAGGGAATGAGGGGGTGTGGCATCTCAATCAAGATTAAAACGAAACTGATAAAGCAGCATATGGACCGGATAACAAATCAAAAAGCATGTTTATCCACTGAAGGAACTGGTTAATGGAGACTGCCAGCACGTTGCCATGGAAACACTGACTGTTGGCGCTGCACCATCTCATACCTTATCCAATACATTCCTGGTTGTTGGTAGTAGTCCAAAGACCCTGATCTCTTGATGGTAAACCCGTGGTCCAGCTGAGCAGAGAGAAATGGGGCAACTCAGTGGATCGACGTTAGGCTAAAGAATTCAGACTCCAGAGCAAGCTGTTCCTTATTTAGTGCATATTTACTGTTTTCACTTTCAGAAGGCACTTATCTAACATCCTAAAGCTACGTACTGGAGACGAAAAAGAAAGTAAAGAAATAAAAGAAAAAGATGCTAACTCTAGATTCGGTTTTGCTAAATCAGAAGCCAATTTATTCAAGCTAAAATGGAGTTTGTGAAATAGGTTACTTAATGCATAATGGATTCATTTAAAAGTCTGACAAAATTTCTTGTTACCTGCAAAGACAGAAGTGCCCTTATAAGTTGCACATACCAGTAATGGAAAATTATCTTTTGCAATTAAACTGAGAGGTTTAATAATTTATTTTTTTTTAATGCAGTGCAACCATCACAAAGAGCAGGCAAGACAGACTACACAAGGCTTAAATTAGACTGCTTCATAATCATGGAATGTGTAAAGATGAAAAGAATCAGGTTTTGATACCCCATCAATCATGGTAATTCATTTCTAAAAATGTGTTAACCTTGGAGAGTAGAACTACTCAGAGCCATGAATAACATTGTTTATCATTTCAGCTTACACCTCATGCTCAAAAATATAACAGTACATAACTATTTGGTTTAAAATTGCACCAATTAAAGTCAAAATGAAAATGAACTTAACATTGTGTCCAAGAAAGTGTGCTCGTGCTATCCCTTAAAGAATACAGACCTTTTAAGTTTAATTCATCGTTAGCAGAATCATGTGCATAGAAACAAAGAAAATATGCTGTCTTCTCCAACCCTTCCTGCTGCACTAACAGGCGGTGGAGACATCATTTAACCAAGTTAAAGGAAATTTTAGGAGAAAATATATTGAAGGAGATACTCTGCCTGCTTTAGAATTGTTAGTTGCGATGATTTTTATATTTTGTCCTATGAAGAGAAAAGGCCATTTTTTGCTTCAATAAGAGCATGGCACATATTTCCAATACGGATGACAGTTTCTAATTCTAAATTCAGAAAAGCAGTTCAACACATTTCCAGCTACCAAACACTTCAAGGGTAGCTAGGAGCTAACTCCAAATTTAAATTTTTCTTGATGACTCCCCTGCAAGTGTAGATTTTAATAATTTATTCCATTTTGTTAAAACAATGACTCTTTCATCTTATTTAGAATTATTTAAAGGACGTTTCCTGTTTAAAACCATGAGAACCTTGTACCTAGTTAATTGTCTATTGGCTTAAGTACACTGGTCTACTATTGCCATCTACTGGCTTCCTTGTATGCTGCACATAAAACACACAAGACGGATGTTTTCTTGAAAAGCAGATCAAAAATACTGCCCTAAAATCGAATAGCTAAAAAGTAATATAGAGAAAATAGGGAGAATTGCTTTCTAACGCGAATTGAAACAATTAAGTTGGTGTGGAAATCTTGCCATGAGAAAACCGACTGTGGACAACGATACCACGACAACATGGACAATAGGTGGGAAGTGAAAGGCTAGTTACGTGTTCATCTTTAAGCCAAGCAAAACTCACAGACTAAGCTTGGCTCCTCTTCCAAGAAATCCCACCGCTAAAAATGCCATTTGTAATTTGCAATTTTATTTTAAAATCAGCAGAACACAGGGCAGTGATCCAACCACTGCCTTCCCCTTGCTGGACTGCAGGCAGCAGCCCCACGCCGGTGTCCCCAGCCCGGAGAGGAATCTGCAAAGCTACACCAACTTTCTGAGCAGCTTTTCTCTCTGGCCTACTCAATTCCTCTGGTTCTCCAGCTGGAGTTTACTCCCATTGCCAAGACAGGGACCTCATATAACTTTGACAGAAGATTATCATTAGTCTTTCCTCTGTCTTAACAATGGCAAAAATACAAGCACAGAAGTGACAACATACAGACAAAGCTTTAACACTTCAGACAAGGACACAAATTAAATGATGCTTGGTTCATACAAGGAATTACAGCACACCTCTGGATCACAGAAGCATTCTTAAAAAGTGACTTTGGCTCTCGGTCGCTTTAGCCACTGTCACTAATGCCCAAGAGGGTACAACTGCAGGATATTGGTTTTTGTCCAAAGGATAAAAAAAAAATAAATGTAATGACGTCTTGGACAATTGAAGGAAAAAAATCTATCCCCAAATTTAGAAAAGACTGTTTAATAAAAGTCTGGTTTTATGTTTTCTCTGCTGTATCTTTTTATAAACAACATCACAGAACTACAAGATATTGTTCCTATTGGAAAGCTGTATGAGAAACCTGATCCTGCAAATATGTGGCCATTCTGACACAGACTGGAGGGGCATTACCCAGCCCCTGTCTCCTACAGAGACCAGCAGTCAGCGATTATGATGAGAGTTTAGGAACAAGGCAAATTAAGTGATCTTTCTCCTACATACTCTCCCATCAGCAAGCAGTGCTTTTTAGGGACTTGTTAATTCTCTTGCTATTTTAAAAGCTAGCTCTCCAATCAAAATTTTGCTGGTGAAGCTATGCTGGTTTAAGGGATTTTTTTTCCCAACTGACATAGTTATGCTGGCAGAACTTTTAATAATGTATTAATGTATCAACAGAAAAGTCTGTTTGCCTGTACAGTTAATTTTGTTTAAGGATTCATCTTCTGCAACATCAGCAAAGGAACTACTTTGCTAGGCATGCACATGTTAATTATGGTAGCTTGTCCAAACTGGCAAATCCTTTCAAATCCGGACAATGTGAAGTCTGGACATGTGCACAAGAATTTCTAGGATGTCTCTGCCCTGAATGGTCAGAGAAAACTTTTACTGAAGATTGCCACATCAACAAATCAGACGTACGTCTGCACTGAAGGAGTCAATGCAATGTTTTTGGGCATTGCTGAAGGAAGCAGTAGCCACAGTAGATGTATGTAAAATAAACGTGGCTTCAAACTTTCTGCTGGTCAAACTGATCACAAACACATCTTTAAAAACCTAGTTCTCATACTGTAGTTTTAATTGGTGCATATAATAAATACTGCTTGAGATCTTTGAGGTGTTTCCACTGAAGAAAACAGGCATATAATATCATACCAGCGTGAGGATGAATTAAGAACTCAATACCACAGAATAGCTATCTCTATGCATAAACAGAGTTATAAAACTCAAAAATAATACTAATATTTATCTTTTATAATATTAAGTAACTATATAAATATATCCACATATTAACATATTTATACAAACACACACAGACAAAGATGTGTTATGTAATATATAGAAAGCATCTCTATATATTATATACACAAGCACTCTCTCAAAAAGTTACTGTAAACATACAGGCAGACACAATAAAACAGTGTTTTAATAGAAAATATAATTAGTGCACATCTTTAGTGCTGAGCAATATGTTACAGCATCTGTACATACTTTGAAAATTCTAAATTCAGAGCAGTCTTCACTAATAGGGTTTACTTCTATGATATTTGAGATTGCACAGTTAAAGAAAGATTCCCAAATGTAACCCCCTGATGACATACATATCAAATGTATATTAAATATGCTCTCAAATGCAGAAACAACAAATAAAGGCTTTGTTGTTTTGCTTTTGGATTTATTTTACTTAATAAATTAGCTTTGTAGAAAAAAAGGTAATTTATTCTTAAAATCAAAATTATCCAGCTTTCTGGAACATCACCAAAACACTAAAGAACTCTATAATTCCCCATCTATTCCAAGTTTTTAGGAAATAATTGACACAAGCTAATCAAACCACTTTCTAAATTCTGCAAAAATATTCTAAACATTTCTACTTTACAGGCCAAGTTGCAGGATTAATCGTGACAGAGTATGTTGTTCACTCATAGAGATGACCACTAAAAATAATCTGTTAAATTTCCAAACACTAAAAAATAAATAAAAGCCATTAAAAATATAATTAAACATATTTGGGGTTTTTTTTCCCCCCTGGTGTAATGTTTTGCAGTGGAAAGATTCACTACAGTGCCTTTTTCATTACTCAAGTGTCAAACTGCTGTAAACGATTCCTTGGCAGAACAACTGGGGCAAAGGAAAAAAAAAAGGAGGAGGGTGGGGAAATTAAAAACATAAAGGAGGCGAGGGATGGATGAGGACAAAGGCATCATTTCTTGCTTTTAAGCTTTGAAGTTATTAGCATGGAGGATCTGAGCAGTAATTCTCATGGACAAGCGTGCTGGCAGTCCATTCGAAAGGTACACAGTTTCAGCTAGGCTATACAGAACATACCTGCATTTAGGATGAGCAATGGGTATGTGATGTTTTAGTTGTGGGAGAGCTGTTGCAGTATTATTGCTTAAAAATGAAAATAAACAAATGTTGGCTATGTTAGCTGATGACTGAGAAAATCTAGGAAAAGCATGAGGAACAACTTGCTTCCATGTTGAGGACGTTCAGGGTTGGAAAGAGTAAAGAAAAAATATGAGTGAGGCACAGCTTGAAATTTTAAGTACTTAAACCAAGTAACTTTGAGAGATATCCGTTTTGCTGCAGAAACAGTTCACACCTGTGAGCCAGATTGCATGTGCTGAGCTGAGTTTACTTCATGCTGATTTAACTCACCACTGGAGGGGCTGAGCTGAGAAACATGAAAGTGGAAACAGTACAAGAAAGTGTACATGTGCAGTCACATCACCTGCAATTTATGGAAGCTGAGAATGAACACTGAGTAATCTGATATGGGAATGGTTATGTTTAATGTGTCACTTATTTTCAGTGACTATTTGGAGCGTTAACATTACCATGGGTAATAAAGAAAAGCTTACAGACACAGGCAGATGTATCAAAAATGTGAAGGATGTGTGTGTTACATTTCAATGGCATTAGTATGAATAATCTCACAATACACTGAATATATTCTGTGTGCATGTATATCTAATACACATATTCATCTTTGGTGAAAAATACAAATGTATGGGATGCATGCTACACTGAGGTTGTCATTGAAACCTCAGTAAAGCTTGGTCAAAAGTTTGGTCAAGTTTGGTTTCAGAAGCTCCAACATATTCTAACCCTGGAATGCCTAGACTGGAATTGCAACATGACAGAAGGCAGCAAGGATGTCCATTAAGTCTTTGCCCCATTAAGTCCCGCTGCCTAAAGGGAAGCAGCTTGCATGTGGCAGTACAATAAAATGCTGCTGCTGCTCAGCTAAATCTGCAGAGCTAGACTCATATCAACTATGAATGTAGCAGTGAGGCATCATAAGTCTCTTTGATGTCTTCAGAGGAGAGAAACTTAGGCTGCCATACAGATTTTCTGTTACAAATCTTAAGTAATTTCTATTTTAAAGTGCTGCTGTCTTGTTACAACCTCTGTGTGGCCTCAATCCATGTGATGATTCTGCTGCCAAGTAAAATGTCATGATCCCATAGGTCAAATTATTGAATCTACATTGGAGTTAGGTCTACTGATCTTCTGGTAAAATGTGGAAATGTGTGTACAGAATTATACCTCCTATGGTTATTAAATAACAATGTGACTCACAAGGAGAATCAGTGAAGAAATTGCGCAGAATACAAGTCTATGTTTATATTAATTAAACATTAGAATTATCTAAAGATTAACCCTCTCCAGTTTCTTTTGGTAGCATGTCCTAGACGCACACTGTCTTGTGGGCATATAAATTTAAGTGTTTCAGCTATGTATTTCAGATGCTTACTGCTATGACAGAAACTCCAGCCGCTGTGCTGTTCGGTTTAGGGCCTGTGTTGAAATGCTTCTTTATCTTCCCAGCTACTGAGAGCTGATGTTCATTCTCTGGAAGGCCATCATCCTGCAGAGAAATAAAGCAGGATAAAACTTCAGAGGGAAAAGGTGAAATAAAGGATTGCGAGGTGATTCTGATAGCACCTGTCAATATAGAAAAGTTTACAAAAAGTTTACAAAAAGTTAGTAATGAAATATATGTCAATATTTGTCTCCAATCTTTGTCTCCATATCTAAGGTATTTATAAGATGAACAATATATAATGGCATGAACAAGTCCCTCTTTTTTAAAACAATTTATCCAGTACCTTCCTCTCAAACTTTAGGTAATGTTAATTAATAATAGTTGTTAAATATTTTATTATTCTTTCTACCACATCATAAATACCACTGCCCATTTATTTATAGGTTCATTAATATTTCAAAGCTTGATAAGATGGGAGCTGTTTATGATTCTAGTTAGTCATCACATAAATTTAAAGACAATGACCTCAAAAGTAGAAAGCACCCAAGAGATTAGAGAAACCAGAAGCCCTGCTTTGGTAGGATGCAGGAAAGAATCTCCGAAAGGCCTAAGAGACACCAATAAGGTCCTTGTCTCATCAAAAGGTTACAAACTCAGGAACTCTGTGGTTGGTTAATATTGCAGCCACAGCTCAGGGAGTCTCATGGTGAGGAAACCCAGGGAAGATGTGAGCCGAGGCACACTGTGGCTGAGGTACAGGACAATTAGAGGTACAGACTGCCTGGGAAAGCAGAGAAGGGCCAGAGCCAGCTATGGATGGCCTCTTCTTCCTTGCTGAGAGACACATGTTCTCAACTTGAGCTAAGGTAAAAGCAGGCACGCAACTGCATGGCCAGAAGTAGACACATGCTCTGCTGTTGCACACTCCAAGAGAGCTGGCTGTGCATGAGCTCCAGCCCAGAAGCCATGCAGCTGGGCCAGGAGGTGCCTCCTCCCAGCAGAGACACCCCTCTTTGCAGAGCAAACCTGTCTATCTGCACCGAGGCATGCAGGCATCCTCAACGCTGAAGCAAAACACTAGTAGAAAGAAGGGAGTTTGCAGTTCTGTGCAAGTCAGCAGGTTGAATTCAAGCCCAAGAGAAGAAAGGGTTTTTTTTAGAAATTGCTACTAAAAGCCTTATGCCTGAAAAAGGGTGCACAAAGCTACTGCTTGGTGAGACTTGCATGCTAGCAGAATATCATAGGATAGGAATCATAGGATAGTTTGGATTGGAAGGGACCTTCAAAGGTCATCTAGTCCAACCCCCTGCAATGAGCAGGGACATCTCCATATGCAGGATCTCTGGTGACAATGTACAGAATAGGTGGAATAGGCAATAAAATGCAGAATAGGAAGAATATGCAAGGATATCAGGTCACTGGCCATCCACAACGGTCATCCCAAGCTGGTACTGCATGGTGTGTGTAGCAATCAACAGTTGAAAAAGTTCTCAAATTCCACTTAAGCAAAATCCTAGCAGAATACAGGCAAACGAGAGACAAGATCAGAATGCAGAGAGATGACTGACACTTCTTTTTCTGGCTTTGCAGCAATTCTGAGTGTGCTTAAAGAGTTACAGAGTTGCTGCACTAAATCATGAGTTCAGTGAGCATATGGGAATTTTAGGGAGGTTGGTTAGGGTTTGTTATTTATTTAGCTTGGGGAGTTTGTGTTTAGAGATCCCTCACTCACCCCTTAACGAAATGTCTCAGCTGGCAAAATATGGTCAAGTGCACACAGCTGCAAAACACAAAACAATACAACCCAGTAGCCGATTATTATCTAGCACTGGGGAGTCTTGGCTTGGTGGTATATGACCCCTAAAAATAACCTGCTTTCCGCTGACCTTGCCTTTCCCAGAAGAAAGCTATTCTGTAAAGTGAACTCTTCTTCATTTGAGGGGGGGGGGGAATAAATAAATAACGCCCCCATTCTCTTGGCTTTCTTGACATGAAAGCCTGCCAAATGTTCATGTCATCTTGTCAAAAGACTAAATAACGGAGAAGACAATGGTTATGAAGACTGTGGTAATATTTTATTGGTGAAGCACCACACCCACAGTTCCAGTGGCAATGCGCCAGAGACACATAGTTTGGGCTCCAGCTTTTAGACGAAATATCTTCCAGCTCAGTCTAAGATGCAGCATAGGGATATATAGGAATTACTCTACCATTATTAAATTTTCTTACTACTGTTAGTGCTACCTGATGTTTAGTAGTTATCTCTTTTTTAATTACAACATGCTTTATAAACAAGTTAATATATATTTGCTGGCTCTGGGAATCACTTCAGCCAACAATAAAATAGATATTGAGGATGAGAGATGACAGCTGTTCGACTACATACAAAACAAGCTGCTCTGCACTTTAAAAGGCAAGAAGTGAAAAAAATCCCATCAGATTCACCAGAATCAGCAGGGTAAATTGTAGAATTGGAGAACAGACTAAACACTGCTGACAAGAATTTCATCAGGTTGCTATAATGGGAAGGATGTCAGACTCCAAATAGTTTAACTGTTCCTTTACCCTATTTCAACTTTTTGCCACAGGAACTACTTCTTTCATTGGGTTAGGAACACAGAATTTTATCTCAGCTTCAGCTCAGCAGTCAGGACAAGATCGTTTAAAGATGACTAATGATTTTTGTTCCTTAACTCTGGGAACTTCAAAGGGTCATGAGCTTCAGAAAATGTTGACTGCTGATGCTCTGAAAGAATTGTTTTCCTGCGCATGTCTCAAATGTTGAGCAGTCAAAAACCATTCACAGTTTCAAAACTCTGGCCCAGAATTTGAGTTTTCACCTGGACAACGTAAACTGCTTGGGATTTTAAGATTTTTGGTTTTTTAATATTAAAAAAAATTAGCCTCCATAAAAACCTTTTCCTGCTCTATTTCCAAGGGAAAAACAAAAAAAAAGGTGGCGGAGGGGGTGGAGGGTCTTGGAATAATTTGAGTAATTAATAAACACTGTTTTCATATTTGCATTGTTTTCTATGGCAGGAGGCACTGCCACTCAAAAAAAGAAAGAATTGTTGAAAAGATGGAACAAAGTTCAGGATTCTCAGATTCCTACTGCCCTGAAGCACTCAGATCCATTTCACAGGCCAGTCACAAGATCTTTACTTTCCAGGTCTAAAAGCATCAGACAAATAGGTCATTATATAAATAACAGCAGAAAATTAGAACAAATAGAAGTTCTGGAAAACTTTGTGGGCTCTGCATCCTTTAAGGTTTGTAAGGGCATTTTTCTTTGGGCAGTGTCCTAGGGTGTAACCAAAGGCAGTGCAGCTGCCAAATAAGAAATGTCTTCTTAAATGAACTTCATTGCAAATATTCAGCTTAGTATTACTTACTGCTTGGTTATTCATTTCTTTTGCACACAAATTTCCAAGGCAGACACAGTTAAGGAAACATGTAAAAGTTCCAGTTTTGCTAATTCTTTTTAGGCTGGTGTGTGCCATCTTCCTCCTCCAAAAACCACACACCACATTTTACATTGATTATTTTAACAGAGAAGGATTTACAGAACGCAATCCACTCTTTTCAGCATTCACTGCTGTCTTAGGAAATATTTACTACTTATACAACAAAAACAGAGCAGGCTTGTCCTGTAACTTGCATAGTATAGTGCACGTTATCAATATCATCAACATTTAAAATGCCAGACCTCGGGCTTCCAGCCTTTTCTGTAACTCTTCAGTTTTGCAAAGAATTTGAGCAGGTAAAGGAAAGAGCTGGGGTCCTTGTAGGGGAGGCATGATGGATTTGTTTCCAGGTCTAAGTATACTACATAGGACAGACAAATCCAAATAAACTAAATGGAGGGGGCAAGGAACTGCTGCTGAATTGCATTTAGAATTCAAGATCACCATCTGTGGCAGTGGCAAGTAGCCAACATCTTTTCAGGTTTTGTTTTTTTGAATTGAAAACAGCTGGGGTATTACTGACATAGGAACTGCTTTACTGGTCTCACACTGCCCAGAACAAGTTTTGCAGTTTCCAAGAGGATTCCAGCTATTTTTATAGCAAAAACTGAAACTGAAATGAGGGTTGGCTCTTACTGAAACTGTCAAAGCACATTCCAGGAATCTCAGCAGTTTACCAAGTAATCACATAGTAAGCAGCTATAAAGTAGAATGGTTATTTACAATCTACAAAATAGTTTTATACAGTGTCAGCAGTTACAACACTTCTATCAATGATATGATCAAAGAGAGAAAATGTTTCTTAAAATTGCTGAAGAAAACACATGCGTGTTTTTCAAGCCAGCTCTCCTATCCAGTACTTTAGCTGCAAGTTTACCACTCTATGAATAGGTTCCAAACTGAAAAAAGAAAAAGGAAAGTCCAGTATTTGATGCCATGGAAAAGTATTTAAACATGTTATTTGGGAAAATTGACTGTTAGGTGAAAACTCTGTGTGCCATTTCTTCTCAGAAACAGTATTTTATAGAAGTTGCAGATAATCACTCTGGTAATTACAACACATAGATCACAGAGCCTTTTGCAAACAGGGATGAGTGTATTAATTGCTTGTGCTGAAGCTGGGAAAATGAAGTACAAGGAAGCTGTGTGACAGAATTGCAGCTGGTCAGGCAGGTGATGGTATGGTGATGAGAGGCCGGATCTGACACCAGTGTATCATTCTGTCTCTGTACATAAGCAGGCTGTCCCTTCTAGGCTCTCTACTGTGTACGTCCCAACCCATTTCAGGGAAGTGTCCTTTCCCACGAAAGCACTCAAGCACCTGTTTCAACTCAGCCTTGTTCTTATTTCTCCTGAAGTGAACTAGGATTTTAGTGCCATCTAGTTAATTTTATGCTTCATATTAAGCGCTTCCATGTGTGATGCCCTGAAACAGGAGCGACATTTGGAATGTGCTCAAGCACTACCCTGAACTGGTCCCAGTGCTGTCCTTTCTCCTTCCAGAAAAAATATCTGGAGGATACATAAGAGAATTCAAAAGAGGTTTTGCTCTCTGTTATGAACTATTGTTAGGATATTGCTGAAGACAAAATACTGATTCGTCTCAGTTGCTAAAAGCAGAAAAGGAGAAATTACAAAATCCTTGACAGAAAAGAAGAAATTAAAAAACCATCATGAAATAGTTGTTTCGCTTATTTATGGACAGAACTGCTACAGATTTTGATTGCAAAGAATTATAATCAGCCTAAAACTAGAAAAACTGCAGCAGAGTTAGACCAAAGGTGAATTGAACACAGTATTTTGTTTCCAACTGTGCACTGTAGTCACTATTTATGAAATAGTACATTTAATGAAGACAAGTAGATTTTTAACTTTCCCTGGTATATACTCCAGTTTCTGCTAACCAAGTATTTAAGAACTTTCTGAGCCAAGAGTTGTATCCAGACCACTATATTTAATAGGAACCAATGGGCTCATCCTCCAAAAATGTATCAAACTCCCTTTTGAAATCCATTTATACTTGGACTCTACAGCATCCTCTGGCAAACGGCACCACGTTTTAACTTACTGAACAGAAACCCAGGAATTTGCCAGGGTTCTTCAGGAATCAGAGCTCAGGTTTGGTTAGTGGAGCTCTGAAGTGCTAAAAAGGTTTAGACCCCAACCCCTTTCCCCACCCTTCCCCATCAGCAGGCACTAGTGAGAGCAGGGAGCAGACCCTCATGTCACCTGCACGCCATCACCATTATGTTACTGACAAAGAACCACACCTTCATACATCTCTCTAAAAAGGCATCCTAAAACATACTGTGGTGTAACTGAAGCTAAAAAATAAAGATAAAATAAAAAAAAAGGTGCCTGGGGGGAGCATTAACAGTTCCAATGTATTTTTCAGAAAAAAGATTAGTGACCACATCCTCATGAAACACGTGATGTTTCAGTAACCTCAGCAGCAGACACTGTGGGTGACCTGGCCTCTCTGCGGCTTCTGATCAGTCACTTACATCTCTTCCTCAGCAGCAGTCCAGAAATCCCCACCCATCATCCTCCCGTGGAGAGAGAGACACCTCAGTCACCAAAATCATTATAAACTGTGACAGAACACTATGTCCAAGGACAAGCACCTGGCACTGAGGGAAGTTAATATTTCAGCTGCTAGAGTATCATCTTAAAAATGAAAGGATTTTCATCAGACATTGTCCTGGATCCTTGCATTCTTCGTACACTGTAGAAGTGATCTGCACGATAATAGCATTTACAATTTAAGAAAAAAATGTTTGGGCAATAATGGAGCTTCCAAGAGTAAAGCATATACTTGGTAAACAAGCGATGACCACAATTCTGGGTTATATGGAGGACAATTTCACAAAAAAAAACCCCAAAAACCAAAACATTTGAGGTTACTGTATATCTGAATTTTTAGGATAGTGTTTTAGTGAGAAAAAGATTTTGGGTACAGCAGCTAAGGGACCAAACAGCATTCCAGGGAGGACTGTATACTCAAACTTGCAATCAACAAAACGAAGCAGTATTTCTTCCTCCTTTATTTTTTTTTTCTCTGCTCATCCCAATTGTATTTTTTTTCTCTCAATCTTCCTTTCTGAATTTGAATCTGGATTTTCTCCAATTTTTCTTTCTTGTTACACAAATATTTTAAGACATATTAAATAGTCTGAAATAATTAAAAAATATTAAGTAGTGTCCTTGTCTCAACATTAATTAGAGAGAAATCTGTTTGTTTTCTCCCAGATTTATCCATATGCCACCTCACTGATTACCACTTACATGGCAAATGTCCAGTCACTTAGACACAAGCCAGGATACATATATAGGCATTTCATGGTAACTCAAATCAAATGGGTATGGCTGCACATAAATATATGTATATTTCAATGTCAGAAGCTAAATACGTTTCTAAAAGTTTCCCTGTTTCATGCTGGCTCAAGTAGGCTTAACACTGTGGACTATATTTCAACATCTCTTAACCACGACTGTCAGATTTTTGAGTCCATCTGATTTTAGGATAGCAAAATGTGCCACTGAACCCATAAGATGATTGTTGGAGGTATAGATTTGTCATGAGTGGTTGAGATTTGCTGAAAACCTGGCCCAAAATATTTCAGAGAAAATGTAGCTAAGCATGCATAAAATAGTGAATACTCCGAGGTATGCGTGATATACTAAACCAGCCTGTAACTCAGCTTATCTCCAGCTAAATCTGAAGCATTTTTAGAATGTGCTGGCTCCAAAAGGGCATAGAAAGGACCTGACAGAAAAGCGCTCAAAGGTGCCAAATTACAAGCAGCATCTACAAGCCGGGAAATACTTACATTAACCCATGGATGCTCAAGAACTTGCAAGGCTGAGAATCGTAGATCTACATCTACTTGAAGCATCATCGTGATAAGTTCCTGAGAAATGGAATACTGGGTCAAATTTAAGGAACTCTTTTAAAGAACAAATCAACATTTAATTCACTAAAGGTCTTTTCAGCCGATTATGTAAGAGTTCTCAAAGAGAGAGTGAACTGCCAACTAAAGAAATGTTAAGATTACTAAAAAAAAAAAAAGAACAACTATGAACTGCTGAACTTCAATCTGAACTTTTAAATCAAGATCTAACAGTACCTTGAAAAGCTAGAAGACATTTCTGAGTTACAGTCCTGTAGCCACTGTTTAAGAGAAAAGCACTTAATACATAATGTACAAAACAGATGGTTGCATGAAATTAGGTTAGCTTCCCATTAAGAAAAAGCCAATTCCTCTGTAGGAAAACAGCCAGCAAATCAGGAATTTTACTTCAAGCTCTTGTATAAATGATCTAGAAAATATTAAATAAAAAAATCCACTTAAAACCATTTTTCATCTTTTGATTTCTTGTGCAATTATCTAGTTTTCAACTAGCATGTAAATAAATATAGGTAATTCAGCCACTGAGTGGGTTGCTCAGAAAACAGGATGGCAGCATGACAGCAAATAAAGAGGTATCACCAAAACCTGAAGTTAATAATTCTTAGTGACAACCAGAAGTTAAATAAATAGGCTAATGCTTCAAACCAGAAATTTTAGACTAAACTACTTGGAAGAAGGAGTTTCACAGGAGAACAACGCTGGCAAAGGACTTGCAGAGTTCTCATTAAGGATGCTATGAAATAGAGCCCGCTAAAGCACAATGATGTGGTAATTTAGCACTTATCTACAGGATGAAAATATAAATAGTTTTATGGTTTTGGCTTTCTTTTAATTACATACACATATGTATTATCTCTCTATATACGTGTAAACACATAACTATAGTGAATACCAGATCCCTAGAAAATCTGTCAGTTACACTGTTGCTCCAGCGCACTGATGAGAGTTAAAAAACTTGATCTGCTCTGCAAGTATAATGAACTCTGTTGTGGTCTGTATCTGAAAAGGACTGTACTTGTTTCAGCACACCTCAAGCTCTGCCTCCTCTGTGTCGTGCCAAGAGGCCCATGAACTGATGGCCAGAACAAGTCTGTATTTCATACCACACTGACAACAATAAGGAATTACAGGTAATGAGAGGCATGGTTCTTTGACAGAAAGAAACAACAGACATATTATCTAATGGGATTAATAAGGGGAAAACAGCCTCCCTATAATGTTACTACATAATATTTGAAGGGTCCAGGTTGGTACCTGGTCGCCATCATAAGCATGTATAAAGCGCAGTCCCAGGGAGTTTTCAAGCTAAGAAACATACTTCTGTAAGAAGTTACTTCAAAGTTTTCTTGATCAGTAAGGCCTGCTGGTGTCTCTGTTGTGTGAGACATCGTATAGAGATGGGGTTCATTTCAGAACCACACAGAGTCTAACAGACAGACAGTGATCAAACAGCATCACACTTGGTGACCTAGAGGAATTTATAGGTGTAGCAGGACATGTATGAAACATGTCAAATACAGCATTGTGAGAGAACACCATGTATTAGATAGTGGCACTGGGAAAAGAAAGTATCATCTACTATAAAACCCACCTTTGCAGAATCAGAAACATTGTCCCAATATGGAGATGGAAAATCCACTTGTCCCATCAAAATCTGGTCAAAAAGCACTTCTTGGTCATCTCCACTTCTATAAAGTAAAAACCAAACAAAACCAACAACAAAACCCACAAAGAAATTATTTCCAGAGCTGGTTTCAATAGGCTTCTTGAAATGGCTTTTAATTGATGATCACTGAGTATGGTTTTGGAAGCTGTTAATTCTCCCCAGGCACGCAAGCATGGGCATGAAAGGTGAAGTAAAACAAAATGCATTTGGTACATTCTTTCTGAGGTAACCTGTTTGTCTTTAGGATTGTCAGCAACTTTGCAATTGTTTTGAGGGGGAGGAAAGTTCTCATATGCCCTTATTAAGTGTCTTACGTTTTAATTACCTTTTACTGATCACAAAATACGTTGTATTTGGTCCATGAAAGAAGATGCTTATTTCAGTGTATATTTTAAACATCAGGCAAAGGCACACAGAACCTGTAATGAAGGCTCTTGTTTTATAATGCAATGAAGTTTAAACTAAACAAACACAAGACAGAATTTTTACAGTAATAACACAGGCACTTATGGGGTTTGTGTAAATTACTGTGCAGAGCAGAGGAAAAAAAAACCAAAAAACCTACGAGTAGAGAACTGTTTCCAGTGGGAATCTCTGTGCTTAATGCAAAAGCAGCACAGGGACCAATTCACAGAATAAGGATGGTTGAATAGATCAGTCCATACCCACGGAACGGAGGAAACCCACAGAGCAGGATGTAAGTAATCACACCCGCTGCCCAGATGTCCACCTTCAAGCCATATCTAGAAGTATGAGAGACATGGTTAGAGACATTCAAATCCTATAAACTATGGTACAAGAACAGAGGAAACATTTTCAAAATTATTAGTAATTTCTTATAGATTCTTATCTGAACTTTCTCTCGGTCCTACCTGCCTATCCTAATTCCACTTTAAAATCTTTTTTTTACATTTATATCTTAAAACTACATTAGATCAGAATGTAGGAGTGTACAGAAGACACTGTACTGTATTCTTGAGTTATACAGTGATGCCTACCTTTACCTAACATGAAGCCTGCAAAGGTGACACAGGCTGCTCGAGCTATCAGGCACCTACTCTGTGGAACAAATACGAAGAAGACAGTGTGTGATAATGAAATAAAATTAAGTAAATGATAACTTAAGAATTACTTCTACTATATCTGCAAGTGGTTAGTTAGTAACTCAGTGTTAAGCTGAGGAGTCTGAGGCCAACAACTGGCAGAGGAACCTGATACAACTCCAAAGTTGGCCCTTCTCTGAGGTGTTTTGGACAAGATTGCCTCCTGAGGTTCCTCCCAGCTAAAATGTTCTATAAACCATGATTCTGCACCATACTCAAGCAAAGGCAGCATAAAATTCGTAATTGCAAGACCTCCTGCCTGGCTTACTGGTGAGAACATGCTCCACTGTTTATATGTTAATGAATCATCACTAGAAGTGATTTACCCAGTTTCTGCAATGATTTCTGGAGCTACATATGTTGGGGTCCCGCAAACAGTATATAGAGGTCCATCCACAATTGTTGCTAAGCCAAAGTCTCCTAGCTTCAGGGACTTGCTTCCATCTTGGTGTTCATAAACCTGAATTGGGAGGAAAATTCAAAGGTTTGACACAATACCATCAAGGTAACTATCGTATCATTTACTAACTGCCTTCTAATTACAGTCTTTTTTCTTCTCCTTACCTACAACATACTTTTCTGTGTGCTTTGAAAATTCAGTATTTGGAAAACTTCCCTTGAATGCACTCAGGATGTTTGGGAAAGACTTACCTTTTTACCTGGACAACAAAGGACACAGCTAGCTAGAAGCTAGAGCCCAAAAGCAAAGGTTTGACCTTCCAGCAGTGACATTCCCAGGTTAACTCCTCACTGACAGCAATTCACAGTCTAGGGTTTTTGAGTTTATTAATTTTACTTGCACAGAGCTTAAAGGCTTACACAGGATTTTCAGCTTCTTAGATAATGCAACAGTGATTGCACTGATAGCAGCAACAGATTCTTTCCTGTGTATTGAAGTCACAAGATGCAAACCTGGCTGGACTGTTTCACCTAGAAACACTGTCCTATTCCTGGATGACTGTTAAACACCGATCAGTGTCTTTGTGGCATGTTATCATCATGGGCTGTTAATGAGAGTATATGAAAATCCTGTCTTAAAACATGGTCTTCATAGCAGTAACATGATTTTTCATGGGTTTTTATGGGTGCAAGGGAAGATTAAGATATAGTCACATGAAAAAAGCTAGAAGCATCAGAAAAACCCCCCACAACTAAAAGCTGGCTTAATGCAGAAGAACAACTAACTTTCAAACACTGGAAACTTACCAAAAATGTTTAAAATAGAAAGTATCTAAATTAAAACACTAGACTGTGAG